CTGGATCGGCTGACAACAAAGCACCACCTGGTGCTCTATGGCCAGATGCTTACAATCAGAATGCATGGAAGGTGCCTCCTATTGCACCCCCACCTACTTTGCAGCAAGCTGGAGGGAATTCAGGGTTCGTCGATGCACGTGAATATCACAAGAAATGGCAAGACAGGCCATATGATCCGAATGACGACCCTTGGATTGAGGGTTTGGACAAGGACCAAAAGAGTGACAAGCCTGTGATCCAACTTTATGGAAATGTGGAGCAGAAGAATGCGGATATTGCGGAAGCAAAGAAGGCTGCAGCAGCAATTGCACAGATTGCCAATCGCTACTGCGCGCCGGAAGAAGGCAATTCTGCAGGATTTCCACAATTCAATGCACAGGTTCCTCTACCTCCTTCAGCAAAGGCAGATCCACCGTTGTTGCCTGCATCTGCAATTGGAAGTGAGAAGGGATTCCAGGAGCAGAAAGGCAAAGGGAAGAACTATGAGAAAGGGGGCAAGCCAGAACTTGCCAAAGGTGGAAAGCCAGAATCTGCAAAAGGTGGCAAGCCAGAATTTGAGAAAGGTGGTAAGCCAGAATTTGCGAAAGGTGGCAAAGATGAGAAGGGTGGCAAAGATGACAAAGGTGGCAAGAATGTGGCAAAGGGAGAATTCAAAGGTGAATTCAAAGGAAAGGAAGGAGACAAAGGGAAGCAGGGCTCAAAAGGGCCCACACTGCCTGCTCCCAAAGCTTCTGGTTCGAAGTGTGCACGCATCTCCGAAGAGCCTGCGGAGGTTGTTGAGGCCAATTCGAACAAAATGCATGACAATGGTGCTATGACCGATGGCTCCAAGAGACGGCATGAAGCTGTTGAGTCGAATTCGGATGCTGAAAGTGCCAGCAGTGTCATTGGAAGCTTTTCGTTCATCTCCGACACCGGCGACTCCCCGCCATTGTTCCCAGCTGTGCAGTCGGGACTGCCAGCAACCCACAAGTGGGATGAGAACTGGGTGGATGCCACCATCGACTATGAAGAGGTCGATTTCAATGTGCCACAACCTGCATGGATCAAGGATACATATCATTGGTCCTGCACGCTTCTCAAGATAGGTCGTTTTGCAGAGAAACCCATCACCTACCATGACTTTGTTGTGAAGGTCTTCAACAAAAGCATGGAGGAGTGCCGCTACGCAAAGAAGATGATTGGCAAGTTCCGCAAGAAACTGACCCCAACGCCCAGAACACAGGGCCCAGATTTTTGTGCCTTCTTAATTCACTGCAGGGTGGACGCATTTCTCAATGCAGGCTATGTCTACCAGCGTGAATTTGCATGGCGCTAATGGGGATGATTGCGGACAACATGGAGCTGGATGTGGCTATTTTTGTTTGCATGTGCAATGTGCCTGGAATTTGTTGCGATATGCTCTCTGCAGAATCTTTGGGCTTCCTTTGCGATGAGCTGGACTGCAGGGAATTCGTTGTGGAGCAATTTCAATGTGGCATTCTTGCACTGCTTTCGGTTTCTTTCTACATCAATGAGAATGTGGACACAGTCAATGGATATAAACACAGGACTAATTCGAGTACACAGGTATTTTTGCAATACATCTGCGACTGGTGTGAAGATGCGACTTCGTGTGCAAGTCCTCACTGGAGGTTGAACAGATGACAGCAAGTTTATACATATGTGCAACGTGCAGCCTTTTTGAGACTTCACTGGAATTCAGCTGGATTTGGATGGATGGGAAACGCAGCAAAAGGGGGTATGGAAATATACACTCCCGTGCATATTGGTTGCATGTGCTACGTTTCTTACCTGAAAGTGACAAGGTGGCTACAACATGATGTTGTCAATGGTTTATTTGTACACAGCGTTGGAAATGATGCAGAATGGTTTGAGAACTTCTGGAATTGGTTGAGAAAGCATGAGAATGCGTTTTTGGTGCATGATGTTTTATTTCATGAACTTTGTGGATGAGAATAATGTTTTTGGAGAAGAATTCATTTGCCTCAGATGTTATCTGGACAGCAAATGAATTTGGAAGTGCTTTTGATGTGGACGAGTTTGAGGTCAACTTTGTCGTCGTTTTTCAAACACATGTGCATGCGTTTTTCAACAACAACTCCAACCGAAACTTCGTTTTGCCGAGCTGCATTTTATTTCTGGAAGCTGTGAGAATGTTTGAAGATGATTTTGGAGGTTTTTGGAATTTGTCAACAAGATGCGAGTGGAGAACGCTTATTTTTGAATGGTGATGGTGAATTCAAACATATTGAATTCACCCAACATGGTGGTGAGAAGTTTGTGAAGAACGTTTACTTTTTGTGCATGCCGCCGCTGCCACTTCAACAGCACGGAACAGCTGAAACAGGAGAAGACCAAACTATGCATGTTGCACGTGCAAGAAAACTTAGCTGGACAGACAGCTTGTTTCCTTTGTGTTTCCTGTGTGGAAAAGGAACCGAGGGTACTGCAGTGAAGCCGTCGTGAATTTGGGTTGTTTTTTGTTCATACGCTCGACGCGGAGTTAAGCCGACCCAATTCGACGGAAGCGCGCGATACTAGTGGTTGTAATTAGGTCCTGTTGGATTTTCGCAATAACATTGCAGATTTTGGGACCAAAAGACTTGACAGCGATAGAATGAGATACCGCATTAACCTTTGCAAAGTATATGACTTGTCACAGTCCTCATACGTTGGACATGAAGCTAGAAAGGGTTCACCAGTCAGATGCCATGTTAGAGGGCATCAAACAACTTAGAAACAATGGAATGAAAACTGGTGCTGCCAAATCAATCATGAGGGTCCTGTTGCTTGGCGCCTTGGGTCTACCCAGCGAAGCGATGACGATGGCTTCTTCTGGGGATGGTAGCTATGGCTCTTGCGCATTCTGTGCGATCTACATCACAGTCATTTGCCTGATTGCTGGTGTTTCGTTATTGTGTGATGAAAGGTGAATACAGAACAATCATGGGAACAAGAACTTGAAGAAGGTCCTCAAACTTCTCAAGTGTGCAAAGTCTACTATGACTGGAGTGCATGAAAATAAAGAAAGTGAAGAAGAAAGCGAAGAAGTTCCAAGCGAGACAAAGAGTGAAATCAAGGCAAGATACAAAAGTTCAAAGATGTGTAAGATCTCTGATCCAGAACTTTGGATGCACTTCAATTATGGAGAAGATTCACCTGACCCTTCCAAAGATCGAATTTGAGAGTAAGAGTGCCTTGCAGAATACTATAATGAAACCAATACTCTGCTTATAGCTCGTAAACACAGACTTAAAGCAAAGTGGAACGAGGCAGAGGCAAGACACAACTTAAACTCCATGCAGGAGATTGAGAGCTTGATAGCTGAAACCCGTGGCTTGCGCTACAACCTCTAGGCGCAATCAAAGCTCGAGTCCTGCAAAAAATCTCCAGGAATGCTAGCAGATCACCTTTTAAGATGACTGTGAGCCGATGTTTATTAGAAGCTGAGAAAATTTGGTATGAACCAGCTCTGTTGCTTTGTGGCTTAGCTGATGCCATTGGTTCATTTGTGCAGTTCAGCACCAAAGGTTGAACTGAGGCGGGGTGAAGAGAATTGCTGCATCCGACACCTGTAGTTGCATTTACAGTTGTTCCAGTTGTTGCATGTCAAGTGACATTCCACTTTCAGCTGCATAGCCGTGTTTCAATTTGGTTTCATGTAGATCGAATCCTCAGGCGTCGTTTGCATCAAGGAAAATGTTTAGCTTTGAACACTTTTGGACAGATTTCGAAGGCTGACACTTTGGAAGGTACTTTTAATCATCTTCACTTTTGTGTAGCAGGACACGCTGCGCTACGAACACTTTGCATGAATGTGCTAAAACTATGTTCACGTGATTTGTGACATTGTTTGGCTTTCTCATGCAGTGCCTAACTCATGTGCATTTAATGATTTAATGTGAACTTTGGGGCGTGCGAAACTTTATAGGCGCTCTACATGCATGAGACTTCTGCCAAATATCTGGCTCAAGGTCCAAGATCTGGCTGGAGATGCCTGGTGTAAAAGGGGAACTTTGAGTCTTACTTAGGTTGGGCTTGGAGTTAGGTTGTTAGTATTTTGGTACTGTGGGAATTTCACAGGTTGGTTGGTTGGTCGGTCGTTTGGTTGATTGGTTGTTGTCGTGGTTGTATGTGTTTGTGGTTGTTTGTGGTTGTTTGTGGTTGTTTGTGGTTGTTTGTGGTTGTTTGTGGTTGTTTGTGGTTGTTTGTGGTTGTTTGTGGTTGTTTGAAGTTGTTTGAAGTTGTTTGAGGTTGTTGGAAGTTGTTTGATGTTGTTTGTGGTTGCGGTTTTGAATTTGGTTGTTATGGTTGTTATGGTTGTTGTGGTTGTCGTGGTTGTCGTGGTTGTTGTTGTGGTTGTTGTGGTTGTTGTGGTGGTGGTTGTGGTTGTTGTTGTTGGTGGTTGTGGTTGTGGTTGCGGTTGCGGTTGCGGTTGCGGTTGCGGTTGCCGTTGCCGATGCCGTTGCCGTTGCCGCTGCGGTTGCGGTTGCGGCTGCGGTTGCGGTTGCTGTTGCTGTTGGTGTTGTTGTTGTTCTTGCTGTTGGTGGTGTTGTTGTTGTTGTTGCTGTTGTTCTTGTTGTTGTTGTTGTTGTTGTTGTTTGTGTTTTTGATTTTGTTGTTGTCGATTTTGTAAGTGCTGCCGCTGCCGCTGCTGCTACGGTTGTTCCTATTGTTTGTGGCGAAACAGTCTTGACATTGCAGAATTTTGCGTTGACATGTGTGGCATTTGTGGCTCAAACATGTGCATATCCAGCAGGCACCAACGTGATATCAATTCCGATGATCCAAATTTGGAATGGTGTTGACGGATCAAGTGGTCCATTGCATGAACTCGAAACAAAACGGACACGATTGAGAAGTGCCTGTGAAATTCAGCACAATTTGAAACCGGCGTTTAAAAAAACATTGCCTTTAAGTAGGATGCGAATTATTTCAAAGCAACATTTTGTAATGTTGAAATTTGAAACAATTGTGCCGATATACCCCTTGAACGATGAAAATTATATTTGCGCTCGCCGGTCTCCCAGTGATCATGTTGGTTTTGTCCAATTCTCACATTGGTTGGAAATTCGGAGGATTGTTGTTCTTCGATCCAATTCAATTTTGGTATGCGAATACAGGTATGGATCCAAGCATCATTTGGGCCGCATGTCAATTTTTTGTTGGCAATTGCTTGTACACAGTTAAATTTTTAGATCCGGAAAAGGACAGTTAAAAATTGTGAATTTTGTGGAATTCGACAACTTTCCAGAAAGACCTCGTGTCGCAAATTTGAACCAGACCTATTTTGAGTCCAATCAACATGACTTGCCTGATTTTAGGTGGGCATGTCCGTGACTATTTAGTTTGAAATGTGAAAAAATGCTGGTAGGTGGGGTAAGTATGAAAACATGTTGAACATGTTGTCCAACTGCGCAGAGAACTTTCATTGTGATCTTGGACTTGGAAAAATCCGTGATTTCGTTGCTCCCGGATCAATCCACTGGATCTCAGGTCCTTGTGCACTTCTTGCTGTCTTTGTGTCTTGTGACGAACTCAGCTGGAGGCATTTTTCGTGGAAATTATATAAGTGGTTCTGGGAGTGCGCATACAAGTGGGTCTGGGATTCCTCTTATTCTTTTCGTGTGGATGATTTTTTATGCTTGGGTCAACTGCCAAAGGCCAATTTGCCCCGAAAAATGAAGGAAAACAAAGCACCATATGATTTTGGTTGGGAAATCCGGTGCACGTATTTGTGCAACACCGGGCCATATCTGAATTGGTCGTTGGTGCCCAAAAGTTCATGAACCGCTTATTAAGGGATGTCATCACACATTTCACGAAAGGTAGCGTCAGTTACCTGAGTTCTCCGTGCTTCAGCACAAGCTTAGGGGGTATTGGGGGGCCAGCCCACGGAATTCATGGAATTCTCGCCGTTATGTATTGGATATCAATTATAAGGGGGGCCCCCCCCCCCCGAAAATGGTCATGGGTTCAATTCCCACGGGTGACGCGGTCACGGGCCCCCACATTAGAGGCACACTTTCCATGAGGGAGATGTCCCTGCAGTCCAGCATAATTGGTATGCTTCAGCCTCAATAACAGTTGCTGCAAGGGGTCTTAAAAAGGGGTTTTAAATAAACCCCTTTTCGTGCATCATTTCACGCTGCACAAGACACCGTATCATGCAGTCATGCTCTGGATAAAATCATCTTAGACTGCGCAAAAACGTTCTTGGTGTATCATCTTAGGGGCGCAGCATTTTGACACCACTCCTCTCCCACTACACTACCTTTCGTCCGCCTCCGCCTGCTCTCAAGTTTTCCAAACGTCATGAAATATCACCACTTGCAAGCAACCTATTTTGCAAGTCACCGGAACAGGGTATAGCAAGAAAAGGGGAGTGGAATCATCTTCCATGTGGCACGAGAGTTTGCTACTTGAGTATATGTGGCCCTTGATAGATGTATATGTAGACTTGCATTTTTTGTGAGGGGAAAACATGCCGCTGGAACGCGTTCAAACACTCTTCAGCGCAAAAATTGGAAAGTGAAACCATTGAGACTTATCCTCCGAATTTTCTAGTTGCAGCTATTGGGATTGGACTATTGCCGTTTTCCTTTTAGTTTCAGGTTGGCTTGGGTGTTGCCAGCATGATGAACCCAGAGTCGTATTCCTGGCTGGTTTGGAGTGGATTCCTGGAGCTTAATACCAGGGCACGGGCCCATACTCAATAGTTCTTTGCAGATGCACAATTGGCAAGAGTTTGCATGAATCGGGCCAGTTTATTTTAATGTAGTAGATACACATTTCTAATTGAAAGGGTTTGGTTTTTGGACAGTAGGAAACTATCCCAGGATCAAGGGTGTAACAGTGTAGCAAGTGTGATTTGGAGCAAATTGGAGATGGTGGAGAAACCTCTTGGGGCCTTCATTTGCGAGAGATCAGTGCGAGAACTGCCAGGAAAGATCTGAGCATTGCGTTGCTAGTGCGCAATGTCGTGCACACACACACCAAAGATATTGGTGCGTAAGAAAACAGTATTCACATTTGTCAACTGCTCAACAGCAGGTGTGTTGTTGTTCAAACCATTAGTAGACACATTGAGATTTCCGAGGATTTCCATTGCCCTGAATTATTTGCGCTGATGTAAATCAACTTGCATACCATCATCAAAGACAAGAGCCTCGATGTAAAAACGTTCCGAATCCAACCTGCCAGGAGCTCCATAGTCTTTGTGGTGCTTCTGGTCAATCCCTGAGGGTCACTGGGATGGTCGATGAAGAATTCTAGTATTGAGCCTTGCGCCCTGGGAAAACACGGAAAATTCTGCACCATTTGGCTCAAGCCTGGAATCCCGACAGAAGCAACATCCGTAAAGCCCCCAAAAATAGACATGCACCATCCTACTACAATAGTGGTAGATGACTCTTTTCAAACTTGGAGATTATTTTTCTATCTTTCTTGGGCTTTACAAACCAGCAACAGGCAGCAACAGCTTTTAGAAACTGCAAAAAATCCCGCCATGAAAAAATGCGACCGGCCTGGGCCGCGGTCAAGGAGCACATGAATGGAATTTGGATGGAAAAATGCTAGTTGAATTATACAATCTGATTATCATATGAGTATATACTATGAATTATTTGACCTTGCTGTTGAAATCATTCTGAGGGTTTGCACATTGGACTTCAAGGTTTGATATTGTTTGGTCTTGCCATTTACATATCTTTGCGCCTATCGGATCTATCGGCATCTCGTTGCATCATTGTGCGACACCACTTGTGCAGGCTGAGTTCGGTTTGTGCTTCCCGGTAGTTCATGGGTCATGGGGCAATCCACCAGCACTGCGCGGGCCTCGATTGCACCATTTGATCCCATGGTCTACCGAGCCATGATGGCCGTTTTTCTTGGGGGCACATCCCTTCCCTTATGAGACAAAAATCAGATACTGTAAATGTTAAGTGATATTTTGTTGTATCCGAAATGTATAGCCATTGAAGTAAAAGGGCCGTCGCGTCCAAGGCCATCGTTGCAGAACAGCCAACGTTACCAGCCTCCACGGAGGCCATTGTGGTGAGATGTTGCTGTTGCTCTTCGCCATAGGAAACCGACATGATCATGAGTCGAACATCATGTGAGAAGAGAATGCGGGTGAGACGAAACATTAGATGAGAGTGATGGAAAATCATGTGAGAATGACGATTAGATGAGATGAGATGAGATGAAAATGATATGAGAACCGTTTGACGTGAATGAAAATGATGGAAAGACGTGAACATGAGATGCGAAGATAACGAGGGTGAGACGAAACGAGAATGACAATCAGAACAAGAATCGGAATGATCATGTGATACGATGCACAGCCAGATTACAAGACAGACAGACAGACAGACAGACAGACAGACAGATAGATAGATAGCTAGATAGCTAGATAGCTAGATAGCCAGATAGCTAGATAGCTAGATAGCTAGATAGATAGCTAGCTAGCTAGATAGATAGATAGATAGATAGATAGAGAGAGAGAGAAAGAGAGAGAGAGAGAGAGAGATAGAGAGAGAGAGAGAGAGAGAAAGAGAGATTGAGAGAGCGATGGATGGATGGATGGATGGGATGGGTGGGTGGGGGGGTGGGGGTAGGTAGGTAGGTAGGTAATGGTAGGTAGGTAGATAGATAGATAGACAGATAGGTAAGGATAGGTAGGGACAGGTAGGGATAGGTAGGGATAGGTAGGGATAGGTAAGGATAGGTAGGGATAGGTAGGGATAGGTAGGGATAGGTAGGGATGGGTAGGGATAGGTAGGGATAGGTAGGGATAGGCAGGGATGGGTATATATATAATATAATATATAATATATAATATATAATATATAATATATAATATATATATATAGATATTGCGTTGGTGAAGGTGGGTAGATATAGAGTACTGTAGTAGGTGAGTAGACATACAGGTAGGTAGATAGATAGGGAGGTAGGTAGATAGGTAAGTAGGTAGATAGGTAGACACATAGGTAAGCAGGCAGGTAGATGAGATTTATGAATGTGTGAAACGGCGCCTCGAGTAAGTTACAGCCAGTCCAACTCCAACATGGTTGGGCACACTTCTCCCTCTGTAAGTTCCCCAAAAGGATGGAAAAGGTAGTCTGTCCTAGCTTTTGCCAGCTCAAGTCCATCCTGCTTCAGCAAGATATTGGCACCCTCCCCCCTTCCCGGGCATATGTTGGAAGCAGCTTCAGAGGGGTTCAATCGCCCTTTTGCCCATCATCATAGTCGTCGTTATCATCGTCGTCGTCGCCGTCACCACTATCATCACCATCACCATCACCACCACCATCATGGTCACCGCCGCAGCTTCGGTAGCATGTCTTCTTTGTTGTCATCTTCAAAAATGTATTTTGTCGCCTTCGTCCTTGTTGATACAAGGTAGCAGTGTATGCATGACCATGATTCGACTTGATACGACATCATGACCCCTATCTCATCATCTTTATCCTTCTCCCCCTCCTGTTCCTCCTCGTTCTAGCCACCCTGCTAGTTTTCGTTCCTTACCCCTCGGCCTCAGGTCATTTTTAACGATCACTGCCATCTTGTTCATATGGGGATGGGTTACTGGGTTACATACAGTAAAGCCTTTAATACCTTTATTTGGGGGATGAACATGCGGAACTACCACCTATTTTGATCACCTGATTTCTTTCAGGAGAACTCCATTGACATCTTGACAGCACTGGATCGAGACGGCTTTGTCTTGGAGCGTGCCGCCCCTTGGACAAGCACCAGAATTGACCAATCACGCCAATCACTAGGACTCCGCACCAGTGCAGCCAGGCAAAATGGAAAATGGAACTGCAATATATCCGATCAGACAATCATTCACGGACCGCCCCCTGTTTTGGGGTTCCATACCAGTTTTTCTGGGGGAATGAACATCTGAGCCCCAGAATTAGATCAGATGCAACAAAATACTGTCAACATTTGTCAACCTGGTCGAGTGGAAAAGCGTTTCATTGTCAACCTGCAAAATGGATAACAGATCTTGGTGTTATCCCAATGACTCTTTAGGCACCCAACCTTTGCCAAAGCACAGCTCCATACGGGTCTACGGCCAAGGACTTGAAGACGCGACACTTGACAAAAACGACACAGGTTGATGACCGGAAGCATGAATCATAAAGTTGTGTTTCTAACTCAGAACCCCCCTTCTTGGGGGTGGCCGGCCTCCCCAAATGGTGAGTTTGGGCCAATCATTGGACTCCATAGGGTTTGAAATGGTGTCTAGATTTTTTGATGTGTTTGTATCGAATTTACCAGTTTACCACATTATTTGATTCGTCTCAACCCAAACCTGACCCAAAAATCACCCTGTCGCTGAGGATGGCCGAAACATATGGATGAATTCACTTGTCCCTAGGCTTTTCAGGTCCGACATTGCCAGTTTTAAAGGAGCAATTCCCTGATGGACATTCAATAGCCCTATGAAACCGAAACAAGCAGCGAGACGATCATTTTCCCCCTATGAAACACATGTTACTGGGTTATATCATATCCCAGCGTTATCCCTATGATTTCTTGGATGCCGACGGGTACTGTCTAAGGGATGGGTCAAAGCCGATGCCTATGTGAGCCACGGGGTATGTGCATGGTGTAACCCCAACAAATCTGGGTGGAGCAACAGATGCTGACACGGGTTTGTCCAGGAATAGGCTAACCCCCATACCAAAAATGGTTCAGATTTTCTTATTGAGCACATGATCTGATCGTCAATACAAGCGGGTAAATCCCCCATTTCTTGACACATCCCTGCGGGGAATCTGATGGGTCTCCACCAAATTTTATCAACGAATTCCATGAACTGGATCATCGTGATGATTTTCAAGAGACAGCTAATCATCATTATCATGAAGACATGGTTTAGTCATTTATACTGATAGAACTAGGCACCCCCACTACCCTTTTGTAATCAAACATGCCGATGGGACATTGTGCCATTCCCAATTTACTTCATCGTTTTCGTGATTTTTTCTATTCAATGAATATTTGAAGTATATATGTATACACATATATATATACTGTATATATATATATACTGTATATATACATACTGATAGGTGCTAATTTCCCTATTGAAGGGTTTTAAGGGGCTCAGGTCTGGATGAGTCGACTGGGCAGATCCGCGTTTGTCTCACGCACGATGGGCGCATCAGACCTGTCCCAGGGATGCGTTTTTTCGTGAGCAGTGGCTGCTAAACCCCTGTTGGTTGATGATGATAGGGGATGATACTACTCAATATATTGGGGGTTTCTAATAATCCAATAGGGGAATCCCTATGAACCAACCAGGATTAAATGGAATGATAGAGGGATTTTGAACACTGCTCAAGTGGCGCAAGTTGCTGATGTCACTCTAGGAACCATCGTTGATTGAGGATTAGTTCGGGGTAAAAAAAAACTAACCAATATATTGGGGATGATGAAAATTGAACGAGGAATCCGTATTAAGCAACCCTTGTTTATCGAATGACAGAGGGGTTGGAAGACTGCTCAATTGTGAGTTGGTGAAAAGTTTGATAACTTGAAGTTGGTTACAGTATAAGATGTTACAAACCCACTTAAGTCCCACTGAAGAATTGGATACATCCCCCTTTGGGAAAAAACTGCTTGTGGGAGCCATTGGCGCATCGCGATTGGATCAACTGGAACAGACTGGCCGGGCCCAGCCCTCGTGACGTGCAGCTGGCTGTGAGGTCAATGAAGACGACAATGGTGTCTTGCAGTCGATACTTCAGAGCCTTGACTGCGACGGCTAAGCCGGTGAAGCCCCAGGGCTGAATCATGAATTTTGATGTACCAAGTGACCTAGACGCCAGGCCGCGCCAGGCTTCAAGTAGCTTGATGTATTGATTCACCATGGTGATGATCTTTGGAGACATTCGTCATCAGGCACACCGTCACCCAGGATGGTGGAACAGAAAGTTCACTCGAACTACTTACCAGATCGACCGCGGGTCCATGAAGCTCTGCAAGCAGGAAGGGATCGAAGGGATCGAAGGGATCGAAGGGATCGAAGGGATCGAAGGGATCGAAGGGATCGAAGGGAAGTGGCACCCAAAATATGCAGCCCCAAAAATCATCCAAAATCCTGAGTTTCGAAAGGACTCCCGAAGATTCTTTTGAACTTCTAACGAACAAGAAATAGTGTTCTGTGGGTACAGTTCTACACTTTGAGCATGTCACAAGTTGTTTCAGCTTCAAAGCTTCGACATTTGAGGGACGAATTTTCAACCTGCCAGCCTTGTGCCTTTCGACCATGTTGATCTTCACAATTTCACCAGTCCATTCCTGGAGGTCATCAAGTACTTGACCTTCAAGTTCCAGGAGATGGGTATCTCATAATGCTGCACTTAGAAATGGAAGGATTTATGGGATGGGTAAAAAACATGTAGCCCCAAGAATATACTAAAAGTAAGCAGGCAATCTGTGTTATTGGAAACTAATGAAGCTCAGCCCCCTACCTTTTGGTTGAAAGTTCCATCATAGCCACGACAGTTTCGTCCTTGCATTGTCATCATCCGTGATGGGACTTTCAAGTAAAAATCATGGGATGTCAGAAGTTTATGAATCATTCAAGAACTCATCTCTCTTCCGATATTACCATCATTTTATATCGTCTTCACCATGGCTTTCTCGAAAAGAGCTATTTTTTGGGAGTGTTTTTTTTCTCCTCATAGGTCGGAAAACGGCCATTTGATGCCATTTGCAATGCCATTTGCTTTGCCACGGTGAGAGGAACCAATCTCTCCGAGCAGTTGACCTTTGTCAGTGGTGAGAAACTGCTGCTGCGCGTATTTTCGGAGGTCGACCTGCAGTTGGGGGATAAAAATCCGATGGCACCGAGCTATTTTCATGGGGGCACGGCTGGAAAATGTTTGCTATTTGGGTTTGTCTGAAAATAGTGTACCCCTACACCCAATGGTTAATGATCATTATCCCTACTAAATGGCTATAATTGGGGGTATACCCCATTTTCAGACATACCCATTTTGTTATTTTTTGTTGCAGTTTTACGGGTATGTACTGGTATTGAACAATCCCATCTTCGGGGTATTGTTGTTGAGCGCCAGATGGTGCCACAACTGAATTATCCAAGTGGTCACGGCCACGGCCCTGCTTTCTGGCCACAGCATCTTTTTCTTACTATGGATGTTCATTCAAAATAGCTTGTAGTTGTATCATTCTCAATCTTGATCTTAACTTAATTAACAATACATGGGGGATTATTTTGATATTCCGTTGCGTGTCATCCGTTCTTATTCCAGCTAGTTGAGAATTTCAAACTATTTCTAAGTCCATTCTGAACAGGGGCGATGATCCTACTTGACGAACATGTTTTGAGGTATCTCAGTATCGTGAGGTGCAATGAACCAACCAGATCAACCAGCAACACGAGCACATCCATTGATGGGGGATGGGGGAGTTTCGACTGTTGACCGTTAAGTGATAATCGATATTTAATCATGGTGTTGGATTATGATTAGCTAGGTGATTGTTATGGTCAAGTTTTTAAGTCATAGTCAGAAGTGAAGGAGACAAGCACTGTAACTTTTAGCTCGCAAATTCAGTGGAACATCATACTCAATTTCAAGCCAGCTATCACGAGCTATAACAATCACAATACTACTCGTCACTAGGTACTAGTTGTATACAATCATAATTATGTTGAGAGAATTACCAAACTAACTATATATCATAAGATTATAGACAATTATACAGTCATATCTTCTTCTTCTTCTTCTTCTTATGATTGTTCTAATTCTCATTACTGTGGTAGGGATTATGACTCATCACCATCCAATGGTTGACTAGTTTATCATGACCACCCTCAAACTCACAATACAACTTCAACTATATAGCTATTCCGTTACCCTAGGATAAGTATAGTTATTCATATAACGACAGTAAGAACCCAAACAATTTTCATGATTATGTTTACAGTGAAACGATAAGATATTTGGTTGGGTTACATTCCAATTAGTCAATAAAAGATCACTCAACACCATTGAACAAACTTCCATACTTGTCAACAATTTTTAGGTTCCTGCAGAATTACAAGAGAAAACATTGACATCGAAATCGTTTCTCAACAAATTGAATGGCAAACAAATGTCTTAGGGATATCCAATCATCCCATTCTTCCATGATCCCATCTTCCCATGATCCCATCATCCAGTCGTGGATGACCAGGACACCCCGGCGGCTGAGCCTCTGGTGCGGCGCTGCAGTGCGGAGGAAGTGGTGGAGCATGTGCTGGGCGTGCTCCAGACAGGTGCCCGAAACGCGTCACAAACGATTTGGGATTTGGGAAGGGAAAAACATGTATAAAAACTGATAAAAACATATAAAAACCATCCCAGGGACGTTGTTTCTTGGAGTTTTTTGAGTGAAAAAAAAACATGTAAAAGATGAGTATTTTAGGAAGGTTTAAATGGACACATCATGGGAGGGTTTGGGAGGTGATGGGCAAATCATCGACATCAATGAGGTTTCACCAGGTTGGACCTTGGAATTCGATGGTTGACTAAGAATTCATCTGGAAAAGGGGTTTCTAAATGGCTATAACTCACCAGTAAGCACCACCAAGTGGGAATGGCTTAAAGACACCCAAAAAATTGATGATGTAGTAGAGCAGAAGTAGATGATCGATCTATTTCTAGCCATGAAAAGAGCAATCTTTTGGAACAAACTGGTGAAGATTTAAGATGTTGAACTCGGCGAAGATTTCTAATCCCAAGATTTTGCAACCTCAAAGCTCTGGTGGTTGCAGTTCTATTTGGGGATGGCTCAAAGGGCCGATGTGATTTTCCATCGGGATGGTTTATCATCATCAAACCCGCATGAAAATTCCCATACATCAGGGGTCCATTCCCGATTTTGAGACCAAACCCCAATACATTTCGGTTAGTATCTTCATATCCCCAATATACACAGCAATTTGTTGGTTCAATCCACACTTTTTGTTGCTTCCCTGGCCATTTCTGTGGTTTTTTCCGGTTCCCTCAGGGCATGGAGTGACCTCGCTCAGGTGCGGATTCCGTGAACCTTGTGCTGGGTGTGAGCCTCAAAACGACCTCGGTCAACTGGGGATTCAGCGTGCGTGTGGACATACAACCAGAGCTACCAGGTATATCATATGAGCCATATGATATGGGTCCAGAAAAGGGGATCTGATTTCAGTTATGGCCAGAAATGGGCTGAAATGGGCTTATTTTCAAGGAGGATAAGAAAAAGGGACTATAAAAGGGGTGCCTTGTCAGACAAAAGCCAATGGCCTCCATACAATATGAAGCCCCTGCAGGTGCAGGTGCAGTGGGGAACTAAACTTGGTCCCCCTAAACTTGTTGGTTTCCCTACCAGACATTAGAATTCAAAATGTCAGAGAGATTGGTTGAGAAGGAGAGAGAGGGGGGGTCCCCTAATTCTAGGACCTGTGAAAATGAGGTTTGACTCCAAAAAAATGGTGGTCTGTTATTCCAACATTTTGTGGCTAAGGTTGTGATTTCTGATGATTTGTGACAATTCCGTGGTTTCCACCTAAGCCGCAGTAGCCTTTGATGCAACGTTTTTTTCCTTCAGCGTAAGTCCCGGCATCCCCATTGTCCCTTTGATTATTTATTAAAACCCCCTGGATGTTGGTTGACAGACCCTCTCGAAAGTAAATGGACCAACTGACCAACTAATCTAATGTGGCTAAAACAATAAACCATTCGCAGTCATCACCATTAATCATAGGTGCTATGCTTACCATTCCCAGTCATGGGTGGTAAAAATGATATTGTTTGATCAACATGGCAAAATTATAACTCAGCTGGCGAACTTCGCTTCAGGTTACGAGATGCTTCAGTTGCATTTTGACAAGATGGACGTTGTTGAGGAGGCGGATCATCGCGTGAGGCCGAACATTGGGAGAGTTTGCTGGGAAGAAAAATTGGGGACCTTAAGGCTTTGTGAAACCAGCCACATGTTGATTGTTACGTAACCATATTCAGATCATATTCAGATAAGAAGATTTCAGAAGATTTCAGAAGTCTAGCACGTTTAAGTCTGATAGGTTTTGCAGCTATGCAGGCTATGCACCTGCTTTATCCTGCTCTATCGTGGTGTAGATGCCCTTGTTTCAACTCCCTATGGACCCAGGCCCTGGATCATCACGCACTATGCCTGGGGCCCTGTTCGCCCCTTGGCGGATTTTTCAGCGTAGCCAAGAGTTAGCCAAGTCATGAAGACCACATTTTTTAGGAAATCTTTGGTGAAACTGTGGAAGAAATCCTGCACCAGTTGATAGATGGTAAACATCCCATTATTTATAGAGTTTCAACCATCCAAGGTGGTGCAGGATGGTGAAAGCATTCAACACCACCATTTTTTTGGGCGTCCTTAGCTATCGTTCAGAATGCTGGGTTTGACATCGACGATGAGGACATTTCCGTCTCTGGCCTGAGCCTGACTCGCTGCAGAAATATTTCGACATCATGGCAGATGCCAATAGGAGGGAAAGGGAGGGGCTCACCGAAAATGATCAGTGAACCAAGCCAAACTATAGGGGATTGCTGCTCATGAACATGCGGATTCGTTTTAATATGTTTTAATCAATTGAAAGCCGAATTTGTGTGGTATAGACGGTATAGTTGGTCAAGATCTAGGGGATAGTTGCATTAGTGATTCCACCGGCGTTTCCCATGATTCCACCGTGGATTCTCTGCTTCAGGTCCACATATTGCAATCAAAGTACTGTAGACTACTAGCATCAACATTTTCATACGTTCTGTTTGCACATTTTCCTTGTCCGCATTATGGTATTATGACCAATGCTCCAAATTCATTTCTGTAAGGCAATTACCTTAGCGAGTTCATGGAAATCAAAAGTAGCAGTGAACCAGAAAGAGTGGCATTTTGAGGTCTGCTTGAGGGGATCCAAACCACGTGGATATGCAACAGCCAGCAATTTTGGGATGATATATATATATGTATATACAGTATACATACATGTAGACATGTAAGGACATATTATATATATATATACATACATATAACATACACACACATATATACACACACGTGTACATCCATTGATTTTGACAGGAACGCCTACGAAGTGCAGCAAAAGATTCTGCGGGAGCTACGACGCAGCGGCCACACACACGAGGAGGCCTCGAAACCATCAGAACCATCCCACTGGCAGGTTTTTTTCCCTCTTAAAGAGGTTTTTCCTGCTGTCAGCCCGCTCAGCCCAATGTCCGGCTGGTGGAACCATCAGAACCATTGTATTGTATGTATGTATGTATGCAATTAATGTATGTATGTAATTAATGTATGTATGTAATTAATGTATGTATGTAATTAATGTATGTATGTAATTAATGTATGTATGTAATTAATGTATGAATGTAGTTAATGTATGTATGTAATGTAATGTATGTATGTAATTAATGTATGTATGTAATTAATGTATGTATGTAATTAATGTATGTATGTAATTAATGTATGTATGTAATTAATGTATGAATGTAGTTAATGTATGTATGTAATGTAATGTATGTATGTAATTAATGTATGTATGTAATTAATGTATGATGTAATTAATGTATGTATTGTATGTATGTATGTCTGTAATTAATGTATGTATGTAATTAATGTATGTATGTAATTAATGTATGTATGTAATTAATGTATGTATGTAATTAATGTATGTATGCAATTAATGTATGTATGTAATTAATGTATGTATGTAATTAATGTATGTATGTAATTAATGTATGTATGTAATTAATGTATGTATGTAATTAATGTATGTATATAATTAATGTATGTATGTAATGTAATGTAATGTATGTAATTAATGTATGTATGTAATTAATGTATGTATGTAATTAATGTATGTATGTAATTAATGTATGTATGTAATTAATGTATGTATGTA